TAAAACAACTGAAATCGATGATTTTTACAAAAGAGGTTCGAGAACAGTGTAAAACATAAAAGGAACAGACTTGAATCGTTTAAAAATAGCAATGATCTAAGAGATGCAAACGAAAATTAGGGTTTCAAAAGAAACCCAAATAGAGATGGAAGAACCTGCTTAGAACTTCAAAGATCGTAATAAATACCGTGTGATTTTGCTCGAAATCACACCGGAATAGCCATGAACAACCAAAACAGCAAACCCTAGATACAAGTCGGCGTGGCCCAGGGCCCTGTAAGTCCTCAGAGAAGATGAGCAAGGCAATGGAGGAGCCATTGGAGGCTTGGGGTTGAAGGGTGGTCACAGGAGAAGATCGGAAAAGGAAGGCGGTTGAAAGGGGTTTAGGGTTAGTTTGAGAGAACAGAGGAGATGAGAGAATCTAAGGGCGGTGGTCTTTTAGAAATGAGGTAGGGTTAGGGGGTCTTAGAAATTAAAAAAGGAAAGGAATCATATGGGTCGTTGATCTGGGAGATCAACGGCCAGGATTTGATTTATGTTGGATCGGGTAGATGGGTTCCGGGTTTGGGTAAGTGTATATAGGGTCGGGCTAGGGTAATTGGGTATGAAATTGGGCTGGGGTTGGGTTCAATTTAGGCTATAATCGAAATGCAAATCTGGCTATAATTAAAATAGCCAATTTTCCACTATTTAATTTATAATAAATAATAAACAATTTCTGAAAAATAATTTTATATACCAAAATGATTTAAAATATATATTTATTATTTTAAAAATATAGGGACCAATTTTACACATATAAAATGTAATTATACATTAAGGGCTAATATTGCAATTGTATGCAATTTTAGCTTTAAAAATACCAAATGCAATTATAAATATACAAAAAAAAAAATATTAACCATATTTTGGCATAAGTATAGAAATTAAATGAATAATATCATAATAATAATTTGGAAAATAATTATTGGGGATTTTGTGAATAAAAGGGGAGGAAGTAAATCAATTTAAATCCTTAAAATTATGGAAAATTATAAAAACCTTGTGCATGCTTATATATGCATGTATATGTTATTTTGAAGGTATTTATGCATATTTAAAATATATAGAGAAAATTTGGGTATCAACACCTTCGATCTGCGTTATATGGTTGGTATCGATCTCTGTTCGATTCGGACTCCCTGTCGATGCCCCTTTGAATCCTGCCCTCAGACCTGTTTGGTAAACGGAACCGGATGGAGCTCCCAACTGATCATCCTCAACTCTGATCTTCGATTGGTACCGATTATGCACATCGTCCTAGGTTACCGCTGGATACTCAATCAAATTCTGCTTTAGTTGACGTGATGCTATCGAACTTCGCTCGTTCAAAGCCTGAGTAAAGGCTTGGATAGCCCAATCATCGGTAAGCGGGGGTAGGTCCATGCGTTCCATCTGAAATTGAGATACGAATTTCCTTAACATTTCATTGTCCTTCTGTCTCACTTTGAAGAGGTCCGACTTCCTGGTCGCGACCTTTATTGCTTCGGCGTGCGCTTTTACGAACAAATCAGCGAGCATGGCGAAAGAATCGATGGAATTGGGTGGCAAATTGTCCCCTTTGATAAAGTTTCTCCAAATTTTTTCAACAAAATGGATTCAATCTCATCATCTTCTAAGTCATTTCCCTTTATTCCGCATGTGTACGAAGTGATGTGTTCATTAGGATCGGTGGTCCCGTTGTACTTGGGGATATCCGGCATATGGAACTTCTTAGGAATGGGCTTCGAAGCCGCACTTTGAGGAAAAGTCTTCTGCATGAACTTCTTTCAATCCAAACCCTTTAGGATCGGGGGTGCCCCCGGTATTTGGTCAACTCGTGAGTTTTACGTTTCTACCTTTTTGTCATTAGCCTCGATTTTCTTTTCACCTAATTCTATCCGTTTAGTGAGCTCCTCGAGCATTTTCATGATGGGGGTATCAGTTCCCAATCCATTAATTTTTTCCCGCACGGGTTCGACCCTATGAGCAACTTCCTGTGATGTATCGAGTTCGATTCTGATTTTGGAGTTGTGCTATCACGGCCTGCTAAGTTTGTAGCATCTCAAATATCATTCGAAGGCTAATCCTCCTTCTTCACCATTTTATGTGTTCTGATCGGCTGCTCGGGCGTCTCTGTCGACGCTATTTTTAGGGTCGGCGCCTAAATCTCCACGAATGGCGACATGAGAATTGACATCAATCGGATCCACGGCATGTGGTGCGTCGGAATTTATTGGAGGTACTCCATTTCCCGGGACGACTACGTGCTCGTCTTCGCCATGAATACCAAGGCCGGTGTCAGTGTGAGTGGGTACTGCTTGAGAGTTTGACATATTGATTCCTGAAATCAAAAATACTCACAAGAACAAGCGTAAAAACAGTGTGTGTTATGAAGGTTAATATTAAGCAATCACTATTATCCTTAGCCCCACGGTTGGCGCCAAACTGCTTACCTAAAAATTGAGTAACAATTAAAATTGTAATGTGGTTTTAAGGATACGTAATTTCACTTAATACCAATTGATTAATTAAGAGATAAGTGATAAAATTGACAAGAATATAAAACAAACTAATATTTGGACAGTGTCCTCGAGCTGATGAACCCTCGAGAATAGTAAAGCAAGAATAGTTAAAGAACAATAAATTGATGAATAATAGAGAAATATTATATTGCTTTGATCTGTATGAATGTTCTTCCTCTACAAATGATGGGGACCCCTCTTTATATACTAGAGGAATCCTAATAGTGGTACAATTCTAATTACGGAAGTAAATCTCATGATTGATACAAATAATCGCCCTTGATTTGATCCGTTTTGAGATTTTCGCCGTGGTCTCTGACCAGTTACGGATATTTCGTCTTTCCGTTATTCCGCTCGAAGCTGATCATATCTGGTCTCGATCATCGGGGACCTTGATCTCGATGGGAACCTCGATCTCTGAACTCGGTATCTTGTCTTCGTGCTCAGGCATGATCTATTACGAGGCTGACCCTCGATGCAGTTCTCTGATCTTGAAATGATGGCAAAATCCCGATTTACCCGTATACAAAAATATTTCATAGAATTAATTATAAAAGCTATCTGATTGAGTTACCATTTATATCTCTTTAAATTACTAACGTTATTTTCTTTTAATAGTCCAGTATATCAAAAATAAACTTTTCTTTTCATTTGTCCATTTTAACAAATAAAGAAAAAATATTTTGATTTTCTTGCAATATTACTATTAAGTATTCACACTTCACAATCATTGCTTTGTTGGTAGGATTTTAGTTACCATTATACAGAAACACTAAGGTCCACTTCTTTACGTCAAAGAATGGATGAGGTTAGCAGCCTACTTGATTTAGATTCTTGGTGAATAGATCTAATGCATTTGACCTAAAAGAAAATTTTGATAAAATGGGTGGACGAAATTTGTAATCAACTCAATTTGAAATTTAGGCTTGTATAGGAGACCATGAGACCTCAATCAGATAGAAGTAAGGGAGTTCTCATTTTTGGATAAAATTTATTATATATTTTATTATTCAGTTGGAGTATTAGGAAATATTAAATAATCTATATCTTACCGAAGAACTAATTAATTGCAAGTTGAAAAGTCACATTCTAGAGTGAATCGATTTGTATGAATATAATTATTAGTAGTTTTCATATGCTACTTTTTTCAATAAGCACGTTTTATACAAAAAGGAATATCCAAAAGGATATACTTTTAATTTTAACTGACACTTTTCAGCGCTACTGATGTGAATAATGTCGAAGTTATAAGAGTAAGCAAACTTCGATTTGGTCTTTGTAGTTTGCACCTTTGCTTTAAACACACAGGGCAAAAACATGTAATTTCTTCTTTAAAATGAAAATGTAATATGCATGGAATCAATTAAAACCTTTTACTATATACTACATCCTCCACTGCTGCTATATATATATATTTGATTTATTGTTCAAAATTTAAGGTGTCAGAAATTGAGTATAATGATTTAAGTGTTTTGAGCTATGAAAAGATTATACGACGAAGTGTGTGCTGGGTATGAAGGAAAATACTTTTTCTACAAGAAAAGAAAGTATGTTTTTTGTTAAAATGAAAAAAATATTTTTTATATCATAAAAAAATACTCATTTGTTGAAATTGAAAAAAAAAAATTGGGGAATATGAGTCGAAGCAATAACAAGAATATTTCTAGTAGAAAATCTTTCACAATCCCTGGAGAGATGGTTCACTAATAGACCGAGGGCTAAGTCATTCGACTCATTCACATGAATTGAAGGGTGATATAAAATCGGTCTATTTCCGGCATCATATTCATTGTTAGCCCATTCATCCTAGTTAGCAGTTCCAGCTCCGTAAAGAAAGTATTATTAATAATATTTTTATTTAGGGTAGGGGCGAGGTGGAGGGGTTGGGGTGGTAGGTGGAGGTGGGACGAGGGTTGGGGTTGGTGAGGATGGCGAATAGGGTGAGGAAAATTGAGAAGGAGATTTGAAAATTCTCTTGATAGAGAAAACATTTTCCTCCAATTCATGCGGAAAATGTTTTCCAAAACATTTAAGCCAACCAAACAAGAGAAAATTGAAAAATATTTTTTGAAAAATATTGTTATCTTTGCAGTTGCAAACTTGCCGAAGCAAGAAAATGAAAATGCCAATTACATATACATAGTATCTCCTTTCTCATGTCATGTCACCCAACAAGCTTAACAAGTACAATATCCTCTGGCATTTTTTGAAGGTATAACATAAACCAGAAGCTACTTGGTGGAACTACCGAATCAAATTTCCACAACCATGTAACCAGAAGCTAAGAAAGAATAAGTAACCTATCAAAAAAGCTTAGAAATATAAAGTTTGTAGTCTATCTTATCCTTCAAGATTGAACAGAGAGCACAGAAATAGCTACATTTTCTGATTATGAGGGCAATCTTCCACAATTAGGTATCAGCATAGCACAACCTGTTATGATAACAAACACGTCAAGAGAGCATCATTTTTGGTTTTGGAATTCAAATGAACTCTATTACAGAAGAAACTGCTGCAATCCCACAAATGATCCCAAGGTTATATAGCAGAAAACCATTAAAAAGATGCTAAAAACTTCCAATTAGCACAATTCTCATGTCATGTCACCCACAACCAAGCTGACATAAATGCTTCAGGCTAATTACATGCAAACTCAACAAGGAGAACCACGAAATCAAACCACAAAAAAGCAAATTCTAGTTTGAATACTGTCAAAAAGATGATCAAATGCTTGCTCCGATCTCTTCACTGTCCTACCACCTTTGTCTTTTCTCAATTTGTTGTATCAATAATCAATGTCTGCAAGTGAAATATCAAACATCTAATCATGAATACATTAGGGTCACCAAAAGAAAAGTAGCTCCAATTGTGGCATCTTTAGTTGAGTAGCAAAATATGCATTCCAAACAGTTTACTCAGCTACCACTTCACCATAAGACCAAGGAGCCAAGAAGAGAAACATATAATCCAACTCAAAGCAACTGCTAGAACTTGCATGTCTAGAGGTTACAATTAGTAGCCATGAGGGATTGTAGCAGTATCATGTTCCTCATCAGACTTGGACTACTTAGCTAAACTAAGTGCAAGCCAACTGCAGTTAACCGAAATAACTTGCAAAGCCCAAGGCACACCCAAAGCCAAAAGAGCTGCAAAGAGAAACAACTATGCAGACTCAAAGCAATTGCGAGAGCCTGGACATCCAAAAGTTGCCATTGTTAAACAAACCAATATAAGTGCCCAAAGCATATAGTTTATTCTCTAATAATAAGGTAAGATTTCATGCTGCTGCCCTTTAAAGGAGCGGGCAAAGTGATCTGTGAAAAGATTGGAAGATCCGACCTAAGAAGGTTATAGCCCTTTAGATTTCTTGATCATTAGCGCCCCCATACCCCCCTATTATTTATATTATAGTCATATAGGAACTAAAGAAAATTTGACAACCTAACTAATAGAAAGGGGATGCGCTCAAGCATGCGAAGAAAGCTCGAAGAGCTTCCCTTTACACGAGCCAATTGTGTGTGGCGCTGCATATGGCAAGCGCTACCCGTCGCTTGCAAGCCATGTGCTATTATAAGATTTTCACATTCCTCATCAAACTTGGACCATGTGGTCAGTAGAGTGCAAGCGATAGTTAAATGAAAATAACTCAGAGCCCAATGGTAGCCTCAATATGCTAAGTCATGATAGCTAAGTGCTAACAAAGCCAGAAAATTATCCTTTCACAAACTGTCCATCAATGTGCATGCCTAGGACAAAGAATGTATATCCTTGGCCAAAATATCCACAGCAATATTCCTATTAGATTCTCCGCTCGAAATAAAAGGATTAGTCAATTCAATCCTCGATGGAAATGGAACTATTGGATTAGTCAATTCACTCCTCGATGGAAATAGAACTATTAGAGCTGGAAGATCATTTTGAGATCTTATGAACTTTTTCTTTACTTGGGCATGGACAATTTCTTTTCGAATTCCAGCGAAGGCAAAAAAACACTACACATTTGTCCAAGCCTTGGTGGACAGAGTTACCTGGTACCTGTTGTTGGTGGGAGGTAGCAAGTATCTCGTGGAATTAGTCGAGGAGCGTTGAAGCCGGCCCAGACCCCACGGTTATTAAAAAAAAAAAGCTCTACCATATCAAGCACTCACTTCCGCAAATGACTTCACTAAACAAGCAAGAAAAGATCTTTCTAATTTATTAGTCAAGCACTAACAAGCAAGACAAATGCATTCACTATCACAAAAGAGTAGTGGGTGCAGAAATTAATTCACTTACAAACCTAACATAGGAATCTCAAATTCAACTCTTCCAGGCAACATGGGGACTCCCGTATTGAGATTTGAATTTTCAGTGAACAGCACGATAGCTTTGGGTTAATATTGAACTTCGTGTGTCTGATCCCAATCCCAGATAAAGGAAAAATGTTGTTCTAGGTTGCTTACCAACACAAACTATAGTGTAAAAATAGTCATATGCTGAATCTTAAATATTAAATTAACTGAAACGTGCTTACAGAGGACGGTCCACCCAAATAGAAATAAAGAGGAAACATATGGCTGACCCCAACTAGTTTGAGTTGAGACAAAGTTGATTTTGATATACACCTTCGAATCTCCTGCAGTTGCAATTTTTTTCATCCATAATGATGCTTTAGCTTTGCATCGGGGTGACCTATCATTATAGCTCTCAAACTTAAGCTCCTTGAATGGCATATCAATCAATTGTTGACAGTCTCCTTGCAATTCAGGAAAAGCTTTCATACAATGAATTATCCACGCGAGGCATGACAAAAAAGACACTACTTTTTTCGACAAGCAATAAAAATATAATTTTGCTTTATTACCTATAGGTATCAAGTTTCTAACAGGATATTGATACCCACAAAAACTTAGTAGGCTGCAATCCCTAACCAGCATGAAGAGAGAAAAAGGATGAAGTTCTCATATACTATGACAATGCGATAAAAGAAATCAGTGTTTAAAGGCGTCCATGAGGCAACTTATCCTAGTGCGTAAATTTCTTGAAGTGAGAATGAACTTCGGGTTTCTGATTTTAATTGCCACTAGATGCTCTGATGCGGGTGCTTTGCATCTCTTTTCCCCAGTAAGTAAACAAACAATTTTATTAATACAAAATAGAACTAAGATCATTTTGCATACGTAGAATACTTATTACAATAGTCGGCCCCTTCACCATTCCTGTTAGGGCAGTTAAGAATTTAGCACCTTTTAACCTTCACCTAGAACTAGCATAATATGCCAAAAGGACATTATAAATAGACGTATTAATTTATTTGAGTTTGTGTATTGTTTCTGATTTTCTTTTCAGAATCATCTTTGATATCTTTCCTTCTAAGCTCTAAACTACTCAGCATATACATGCTGAGATACTGTTCCATAATTTATTTTTATCAGTATATTGTTCTGTAATCTTTTCATATTCTTGCTAAGTCCTCGGTACTGTCCATCTCAAACTAAGAAAATATTTTTAGAAAGAGGTCTCATAATTGAGTTACCAAAAGGAATAATTGATTAATATCCTCAATCTCCATTTCACACATCGCATAAAAACACTCAACCCCTAGTTCTACAAGTTAAATTAAGTTAAAACAGCATTATAACAAATTACCCAACAAAATAACTAACCAGCCGACAAAAGATGGCAACTACATATGGAGCTCAACTTTTCCAAATTATATTCCATAGCCACTTGTTGACAGAACTGCTGTCGCATCTCTCTAACTTTTCCCTCCCAAATCTTATTTTCTCCTTCCAATAGCATCTTAGTGAAGACTTCTAGAGTGGAGAAACCAACATCTTTTCTAAGCATCTTAGCTATCACTTGGTGTCCATATTAAAGCATATTCAGGCACAGTAATATGACAACTCAGAATCAAATAGAGGGATCTCTCCTCTTTCCATGCCATAATGCATTGAAGTGACAATGTTTTCATATACTTGTAGCTGATCATTCTGCAATCTACCATATCTAATCAACATATTTACGTTCAGTATCTCATTCCCAGGAGAGTCTATACATGTGTACTGAGTACCATCACCGAAACAAGGGATCAAGGTCTGATATTAATAAGTAGTCACAACTTGCAACTGAAAACCACATCAGGAACTGGGTGAATCACATCCAAATGAGACCACAGCTGATGGATCTAAAAGTTGAGGTTGGATTGGAGTTTCCACGGAAAATACTAATAACCAGAGGAAAAAGGAGAAGGAAGAAAGATAGAACATATATTAGCTACTTTAATTTGGTATACACAACATTCTATGTCTTCCTAGCAAAACTATTTTACTAGTAAAAGCTGTGTACACTTAAGTAAACTGAACTTGTGCATAACCAGAAGCCAGGAAATATGTTGTTAGCAAATTATCACTAAAAGAATAATCAATTCACTAAGCCGAGTCGAAGACAGTTCTTACAGTTTACATGTTAAACAGAGTATAAGATGTTTGAGCTCCCTAACTAAACACCACCACCCTACCCCCTACCTCCACCCACCCACCCAAAAAAAATATTTCCAACAAAAGAATCATACAATGAGTTGTGGTTCTGACTAACGAGGCGATCCCTCGCCTATACGTCTATTTTGTTTTTCAAGTACACTGCCCAACAAAGGGGTGGAGCTAGTTAGACTATCATAGAAAGATACCATTCCAATCATTAAGGGAAAAAAACGAAATCTGTTATAGGGCAGAGCAGAGGTTTGGTGAGGCTGAAAGAGCAGAAGTACCAACTCAGTTATTGCAGGTAGGCCTATCCTTATTTATTCTCATATCCATTTATATCACTCAATCATAGTTAATAAATTGAAGTTCCATCTCCAATGGGATTTAATGGAGATACAATCACTGGAAAACAAGGAGAAGACTCGACATTAAGTCCAACATAAAAGACAAAGTTAAAGAAATTTATCTCAATTGATACAATGAACAATGATATAACTTTCCTTCTATAAACAGCAGGGAACCAATCATATGCACTATATTATTTACATAGGTCCTCGGGCAGATCACATAAAATAATGCTTATTAACATTAAAATAAGAATAGTAATACTAAAAACATTTTAACAAGTACAACAAACAAAGACCTTCGTTATTAATAGAGTTCATCAAAAAGCGCAAAGAACAAAGACTACCATGACTTATTATGTAAAATGAACAAATTCAAGTGCCAAAACACAAAAACCTACTAGAAAAGCTAAGACGCGCAAAGAACAAAGACTACCATGACTTATTATGTAAAATGAACATATTCAAGTGTCAAAACACAACAACCTACTAGAAAAGCAAATGTCTTTGCACTAACTCTTGCTTACATATCACGCAACAAAAGAAAAATAAAAGCACAAGGATCTAGCCATTCTCACCATCATGGTGTCAAGGCACCAGTTTCCATGTTCTCCATCTGAACACTGCTTTTCAACGGCACATACTCCCCAAGGTATCCCCCAAGATGATCATACAGAGCAGTCTTGTCTATCCCCTGATGATGATAACTCTTGCAAACATAGTAAAACACACTTTGCACCAAAAGCCCCACAAGATTCACAATCACCAATACTCCAACCAGGAATCCACCAACCACAATTCTTGAAAACACACCATAACTTTCACCTCCATGCACTACAATTGTCCCAAAAAAACCATTAATCACCCCACAAATCGACAAGTACCCGAAGACAAGGAAAAATGCCATCCCTGTCCTCCCTTTCAACAACTCATAACTCTTCTTCATAGCTCCTATACCATAAACAGGCTCAAGAACAGACACCACACTAGCCAAATGCCACAATGCACTGATGTAAACATGCACTACAAGGAAGAGCACAAACACAACCAAGAATGAAAAGAGGAACAAAACCACATTCTGGGTATCTGCTGCCACAATCAAAAGCACAAGAAAAATCAAGAAAACAGTGTTATAAGCCAACATAGAAAGAGAAACCCAAATGAAAGTAATAAAAAGCCTCTTGAAAACACTGGGAATAGCAGCTAAGGTAGAAGAAAAAGACACAGGCTTTGAGGTGTAAATTGATGCCACAGTGAAAACAACAGCAGCAGTTGAAAGTAAAGAGAAACCAAACAAGAAAAGCAGGTAACAGAACTGGAAAACAATGAGCTTGGTCCATTGTGAGGCATGAGATGAATTTGGGTTTTCTTGAAGCTGAGTAATGATGGGGTGAGTGAACAAAGAATGAGCCAAGATTGCAAAAGACAAAGGGAATACTAATGTAAGGGTAATAAGGTAGAAAGTTTTTGGGGATCTTTTGGGTATGGAGATTGATTCTTTGAAAATATCAGGTATAGTCAAGAATTGAAGCTCCTCTGGTGGCAGATCCATTATTACCAAAAAGCAATTCTTGATTTGGGAAATTTTTGAATTTTTTTAGCTGAAAAGGGTGTGATCTTGGATGGGAGATGATTTCAAGATTGAGTTTTTTTTTGCTAAAATGATTCTTGCTCTAATGCACCGCCACGTTTTTTTTCTCGAAAAAGTTGGTAAAGTGTACGCGTTAAAGCATTAGGTACAAAGATTGCTGCATCAGTTTTTTCTGACACAAAGGAAATTTCTAAGCGCCCTATCAATTTTTTAATTTTACATTAGACTATTCTATAATACAGAGATTAGTATAGATGGAATGTCGGAGGAGCAAGGGGATTATTGTCTAATCGTGTTTATTTAATAACAAGATAACTTATCCGTTATAATAAATATCATACAATATAAAATAAATATGTGATTCTTAGTTGAGTTATATGTTAAATACACGAATGTATTATATGCATTTGATTTGTTCTTTTCACTAAATAGTAAAACATTTAATAAAAATAAAGTGAAAAGTAAAGAAACTAAAAATAAAAAAGAAAATCTCTCTATTTTTTGTATTGATCTTCTTTTTCTTTCCTTTTCAATTCCCTAATCTCTCTACTATTTTTTTCTCTTTTTCTCTCTATTGCTATCTTATACTGCCTCTACAAACTATTTTTCTTTTCTTTCCTTCTATTTCTTTTCCCTATAGTTGCTTTTTCAATTTGCCTCATTAAATTTAACATTTTGGTAATATATTATTCAAAAACCTTTAAAAAGGGGGAAATTTTAATTTTTTTTACCACATCCAATTTAATTCTTGGGAGTTAATATACATACAAAACCTTAAATAAAAGAATCAAAAATAATTAAAATTATTACACTTCTAATTAGGCAAGAGAAAAATGCGAAAAAAGTGATGAAAAACAATTGGTCATTTTAATTCTGGAGAAGTGCCACGTTATATCTCTATAAGTTAGATACAAATCGTATTCTTCAGACAATGACCTATAATCTATTAGTAAAATCCAGCAAAATATAAAAACTTACAAATAAGAAAAATGCTTGTAACACCAGAGTCACCATTGTGACACTATGATCCATATACAACACACACAAAAATAAAACAACAAAAGCGACTTGAAAATAGAAGTTGCATACAAACCACAAAAGTAATGAAAATTCATAGAAAAGCTTGCCAAAATTAATCATGTATCATTAAAATAAAAGCTTGCCAAATTTCTTCACCGGCTCTTGGAACTTGATAGAAAGATATTCTTAGTATCATCATCATCTTGACCTTGGTTTACTCCATGTACATAAACATTGTCTGATATGTATAAGTGCAGATGCACAAGCATTTGCTGAAATGTTTGATTTTACTTTAATTTTAATATGTAATACGGAATACCGTTAAAACAAAAAAGAATTTGAAAACTCACCAGTTATATAATTCAAATAAAACCAGTGTGATGACCCAAAATATCATCTTTAAATTAAATAATCATCTCAGTATTTTTAAGACCTTGAAAAGCGATATCAATAATTCCTCGACTTGCGGCGCAGTCCGTATAATTTTTCGGAAGGTTTTTATGTGAAAAATGGACTAAATTGGGAACTAGAGCTTTAAAACTCAACTGAGTTGACTTCGGTCAACATTTTGAGCAAATGAACCCGGATAAAAGTTTTGACCATTTCGGTAGTTCCGTATTGTGACTTGGGACTTGGTCATGTGCCCAAAAGCGAATCTGGAGGTCCCTAGATCAAATTATCGTCATTTAACGGAATCTAGAAATCTAAGGCTAAAGATTTCTTAAGTTTGACCGGAGAGTTGACTTTTTGATATCGGGATCGGAATCCAGTTCTGAAAATTTTTATAGCTTCGTTATGTCATTTATGACTTGTGTGCAAAATTTGAAGTCAATTGGACTTGATTTGATAGGTTTTTGCATCGAATATAGAAGTTGGACGTTCTTAGTTTCATTAGGCTTGAATTGGGATATGATTCACAATTTTAGCATTATTTGATGCGATTTGAGGTTTCGACTAAGTCCGCATCATGTTTTAGGACTTGTTGGTGTATTTTGTTGAAGTTCCGAGGGCCTCGGGTGGATTTCGGAAGGTCAACGGGTAGAAAAAGCTGCTGAAATTCTCTTTGGGAAGCTGCTGTTTTTTTTACAGCCTTGTGAATAGTACCTCGTGAACAGTACCGTGTATAGTACCCCGTAAACAGTACCCGAATGCGTGAACAGTGCCCCCGACATTTTCTGGGCAGATTCTTAATTTCTGAAAATGGGACTTTGTCCCATTTTCCATTTTTGTCAAATTGGAGCTCGGGAAGAGGCGATTTTCGGGAGATTTTCAGAGAAAACAACGGGGTAAGTGTTCTTAACTTAATTTTGGTTAGATTACCCGAATCTATTATTAGTTTTGATACTAAATCTATGAATTTAGTTGGAAGAGTTTGAAAACTCTCTCAGATAGATTTGAGGATTTGAGGGTCAAAATGTTATCGAAATTTAGTAATTTTGGTATGGTTAGACTCGTGGTTGGATAANGTGTCGCACGATGTACAATTCCATGCCGATTATATTGATTTTATGGTGAGGATGAGAGTAAAAGCACGAAAGGTGCTATCGTGCAGATTATATTGATTTTTATGGTGAGGACGAGAGTAAAAGCACGAAGGGTGATGCCGTGCACTTGTCCTTTATTTTCCTGATTCTTGTTGATAATTGAATTATGGCTTTCCTTATATTCCTTTATTGGTTTCTGGTTAATACCTGATATTATTGACTTCCTTGCCTAGATTGCTTTGTGAATGATGCTTGGGTGAGGAAGAGTGTAAAGCACGAAGGGTGATGCCGTGTATGGTGAGGAAGAGTGTAAAGCACGAAGGGTGATGCCGTGTATGGTGAAGACGAGAGTAAAAGCACGAAGGATGATGCCGTGCACTTTCTATTTGTTGGTTTTTTTTTGTTATTAACATTTCAAGTGTATTAACTGTTTAGAGTCCTTTACTGTGTTGTGATACCTTGTGTTGTAAGCCATATTATTTTCAATATCTCGTCGCATTTATATAAAGATTTCAATACTTAAATTTTCAACAATTGTACTTTAATTAAAAAGGGTATTTTCTTTATTCAGACGATTTCAAAAAATAACTTCATCTTTTCTTGTTTATTTTCTAGTTGGGTTGGAAGTTGTACTCTATTTTATATTAAGTAAATGAGGCACTTTGAATATTTTTTATTGTATTGAGTTATGGACCCTATGAATTGAGTAACATGAGAATGTTGTTGCGAAATGTGAGACGGAGACATGTGGGCACAAGGTGCCGAGAAAAATATGATGATTTTTATTAATGACAGATTATGATATAGGCACGAGGTACCAGAGAAAATATTATGGTTTTATTTAATAGCACGTGAGTTGTCCGTGCGGTTGTGATATAAATATGGGCACGAAATGTCGTGAAAAATATGAAAGTGGGTTGAGACCTATATTAATTATGATTATGAAATGAGGTGTCACAAGATGACCTTTACTCGAAAGAATTATATTCGAAAGATGCTTATTTGAAAGAGATTTATTTGAAGGAAATATATTCAAAAGATATTTATTGAAAAGCATATTATCTTAAAGATTATTACTTGAAGGATTTATAGGTGAAAGATTTATATTTGAAGGACTTGATTAGATGATTGCACTTGTATTTATTAATTGTTGAGAAACATTTATGGTATTCTTGTTACCTGCTTTTTTATATCATTGGTTGATCATTGTTGCCATCATCGGTACCTGCTTCGTATTAGTTTTGTACGCTATATTGCACAGGTTTATTTGGTAGTCTGGTCCTAGCCTCGTCACTACTTCGCCGAGGTTAGGCTAGGCACTTACCAGCACATGGGGTCGGTTGTGCTGATACTACACTTCTGTACATTTTTGTGTACAGATCCAGGTATTTGATCGATAGTAGCTATTCGTTGTGGTGGAGACTCAGGGTAAACCTGTTGCAGCGTTCGTAGTCCTCAGATTCAGCTTCAATTGTACTTATTTTCATTTGTTCCCTTTGTTTCGGAATAGTGATGTAATTATATTGTATGACTACTCCTAGAAAGGCTTATGACTTGTACTACCGGTTTTGGGAATTGTAAATTGTTTAGAGAAATTTCATTTGAAGTTAATAAATATCAATGTTATTTTAGTAAATTTTAGGCTTACCTAGTTTAGAGACTAGGTGCCATCACGACTCCTTCGGAGGGATTTTTGGGTCGTGATATTATATACAGTTCAGATAATATCAAAACGGTAAAAGCCTCATTTAACACATTAGGCCCAAGCATGTAATAAAATCAGATAACAGATAAAACCAAATATAACNCAAAGACCACAATATATAGTTGGATTGGAAATTGGGTGGTCAAGCAGAGAATTGAAAAGATCAAAATATAGATAACAGATTAAATACAATTTAATACTAATAATTGTATAATTACTGTAAGCACGTGATTTTTACCCTATATGAGAATTACTCCCAAAAATTCAAAATAAAATGATTTTCCTTGGTGTGCAATTTTGTGAGATTTTGTGATATTTTTGGATAATTATTTGTATTTGTATGTGCATGTTTATTTGTTAAATTAATAAAAAATACAAAAATATGTCGCATTTTGCATATAGGATTTAATTCTACAATTGTTAGTAATTAAATTTGTTTTACAAAAAATGAAAATTACAAAAATAAGCATCTTTTTGCATTTTTAGCATTTAATGTCCAAATGAACAATTTTATGCTTAATTATTACTTAATTGTGCGTTAATTGTTATTGGTAGTTAATTTGCACTTTTATAACTTAATTTAGTCCTTAATAATAATTTAAATTTTTTTATAATTTAGTTTTAGAAAAATAAAAGAAGAAAAGAAAGCAAAAATACAAAGAAAAATCGGATTGGGCCATTTCTTCAAATTTAAACCTGTAAGCACGTGATTTTTTGCTTTACGAGCAATCGCTCCAAAAGAAAATAAAAATAGTGACAAATGATTTCGCTGTACAATTTTTCGATCTTTCCGTGACATGTGTTGTTAGTCGTTTGTGAGTCTGTCCATTTTGCATCTAGTCCTTATCAAACAAAAATACAAAAATATATGTGGCGTTAAGAGAAAATTCAAAAAAAAATATACGTGCATCGTCCGTTTTAGGTTGTGATTTAACT